ATAAAAAAATTGGAGAAACTTCAACCACCGGAAACTTGATTTTTGAATTGTGTTTTTTAGAAGTTGTACGCTCTGATTCAAATTTAAAGAGATTTTCCGTTCTAACAACAGTGTTTTTTCATTAACATTAAGAAAGATAAAATTAAGAAAGATAAAATTGTTCAGGAATCTTCGAACACTCATCGAGGATTTACTGTATATCCGTCTCTTCAAAAATTAATACAGTAGAGCCTCTCGTATCGGAACACCCGTTCCCACCTTTTTTCGAATACCTTAATATTCGAACGTTCTACTATCCGAACCTGTGTCTGAAGAGGTTAAGGATTGGAATGCCTATATTTTTCATCGATACACGGCCATGAACGAGGCTTTCGATAGCACCGTACCCCCTCCCCTCCCTAATTGCAGTTAAGAGCATGTAAACTTTGACTCCCGACCGGTTTCACGAAACTCGCTGTATCGGTTCCTGTACGAACCGAAGCGTCGCGGAACGCTGAGTCTTCCGATGTTCATCAGTATTAAACGACACGGGTGGTTGTTAAGAATGCCAGCGCAGAACGCCCCCGCCCCTCCCCTTCGTCGAGGACGCAAAAGCTCGATCGTCTTACGCGGTTAAACTGGACGGATAAACTCGAGAACCGGAGTCCCGCGTGAAGATAAGGTGCGCGAGATAAGGTTAACGCCGCGCGATTTAAACACTCCCAACCGGCTGCCCGTTAGCCACGGATCTCTTCAAAGACGGGAATATAACGCCCTGCCCCATTTACATTCCTATCTTCAATGATGCACGACAACGACACGCTGATCCGTACTCCCCCCCTTTTCTCGATTACTTATCCGATAATTCCGTCCTCCCCAGAGGGCGTTAGGGTGTTCCCAACAAAGTCTTTAATAAAGATTGGCTGGGAGATATACAGTTTTTTTTAAAAAATAGAATTATAGCAAATAGATTGTTTCTAAACTCCGTTCCACAAGAGCAGGGTGTGAACAATTGTGTTTTCCATAGGGATTATTGAACAGGTCAAGTGCTAAACAAGGTTCCGTCTTGCTCCTAAAGGGATCTATAGTTTCCGTTCAACTAAATTCACCGATCAACGAGGATCAGCCCTTAACGCACCTACTCCCCATTCGACTCGATAGTTTTAAAGCGGCGTAGATGGTGGCAGAGAGGGTGGGGGCGCGCTAAGCAGAAGAATTTTATACGGAAGATCAGCCGGCCAATCGATGGCCGACGAGGGATAGGAACCTTATTACATGCTCGAGTAACTTGGAGAGCACGCGACACGCGATCAATTTCAGGCTTATCGGTGGCCAGCGAGCGGAATTGACATTTTTATTAGAAGGGCAGTAGGGGAGGGGATACCCCCCTGACTCTATCCTCGGCAATATTCGACGTCGGGAAACGCGGTAACGAACGAGGCCGCGAACAATGTACGAATAATTTTCTAAAGCCCGTCTTTAAAAAGAAGTGCACTCCTCTCCTCTCCCTCCTCGCGAGAACAAGGTATCATTAATTATATGCCCGTGTCCGGGGCATGTTGGAATGCATATACATTAGCATAAGCCCCGATACGCGAGATAGTCGCGTGTAGGTGTATACAAGCCCGTCTAACGTGTAAAGCCGGCCGTGTGGTTTTAGAGGGAAGAAAAAAGGGGAAACGAAAACGAGGTAAACCGAGGGAGGGGGGAATAGTGTCGAGGAGATCGATAGAGAGAGAAAGAATAGCGAGCATATAAGGAGAGTGGCCTGCAGGATATACATATGCTAAGGATCCTCTATAATCCCAGCGGACAAACGATGTAGAACGCGCCACACCGTGTTATCGTTACGTTTTCTTTTTTCTTTCATCCTCCTTCTCTTGGCAACACAGGTGGAATCATTGAGCTCTATACTAACTAGAGTGCAAACTCTGTGGGATGAAGTGATGACGAAGGTCCGAGGGAAAATTAAGATATAATGTGAACCTATCCATCTTCTTCATGTTACAGGTAATTCTCGATGAGTGAAGGCTCCTCGAGACTGAACATTAAATATTTCATAAACTGAGAGCCATATGCGTTTGAAACAAATATCGTAGAGGGCAGAATTCCAAGCTCTAACACTGTGCTAAACCACAACACAAAGTCAGCGTTATCTACATCTGGGGCCTTTGTGTAGAATTCCAAGCTCTAACACTGTGCTAAACCACAACACAAAGTCAGCGTTATCTACATCTGGGGTCTTCTCCTTGTGAGTGTCGAGGAGCCTTCGGACATTCATCCAGGATTTACTGTATCTTCTCTATCTGTACCATTTGGTAATATATAAGTTGTTCCATAATTTTTTAGAAACATTTCCCTTAGACCATTAAAAAGCCCGACCCTTTGCAGGCATGTACTAAAAGCTAGTAGTAAGCCAATCGTGATGCCAACATATAAAAATATTTATATCTCAGAAATGGTCGATCATTTGCCGTATGTTTGCTAAGGTTTTTTACTCAGTAAAGTGTCCCATGTACCATATAAATATTAAATGGTTTTTTTGAACACCCTGTAGAGCTCAATGAATGGAACAGGAAGACGAAGAGTCGTCGCATAAATGCTGTGTGCAGGACTCGACCGAGGCGCCCCCCGCTGGGCGTTCGAGCGCGTTTATCAGTCGCGACGTGGCTACAATCCTGCTGATAAAGCAGGAAATCTTAGCCAACCGAGCATCGTCGGGGATAAAGCGTGGAATTCGATGACTATACGCAAGCGTCTGTCCTTAAGTATTACCGTTACGATAGGCTTGAGTTTCAATCGTTTGGACCAGGGTGGGGAGAACCGAAAGCAGTGTATTTTATAAGTGTTTTAATAACTGTTCACGCCGTCAGACAAGCTATAAAACCACGCGCGCGACTATTTTACAACCGTTTCTGGACGACCATTGGTGTTTTTATGCGTCGGTGCAAGGAGAATCCCAAGGTTGCCTCGGCGCCGGCGGCGTCTGGCAAGGCGGTTAATGCGGGATTATTTAAAGTTGGCGTTGAAGCCGTGAGCGAGGGGTAGGAGGCGGATGGATTGTATAACACCACTCCTGGGGCGTGTGAACTTGAAGGACTGAAGGGCTGAGAGAACTGGTGAACGTGATTTTGGGGGGGAATACGTTAGGATCTTGTTGTTATACGTTAGTTCTTTTTTATATTTGAAAGATGGTTCGTTTCGATAGCGTTATTAGATAGATTAGTGGTTGGACTCCACTCACCAGGTCCAAAATGTTCAAACTTATTATGTCTAACGTAAGACTTCCACCTTCTGAAGACTTAACTCGTTTGATATGGTTGGACTTCATAATCAGTTACGACTTTAAGTTTGGACTCTTCCCACCACGTCCAAAATGTCCAAACTTAATATGTCTAACGTAAGACTTTCACCTTTCGAAGACTCAAATCGTTTGATATGGTTGGACTTCATAGTCCAGTTACGACCTTATGTTTGGACTCTTCCCACCACGTCCAAAATGTCCAAACTTAATATGTCTAACGCAAGACTTCCACCTTCTGAAGACTCAAATCGTTTGATATAGTTGGACTTTATAGCCCAGTTGCGACCTTAAGTTTGGACTCTTCCCACCACGTCCAAAGTGTCCAAACTTAATATGTCTAACGTAAGACTTCCACCTTCTGAAGACTTAAATCGTTTGATATGGTTGGACTTCATAGTCCAGTTACGATCTTAAGTTTGGACTCTTCCCACCACGTCCAAACGTAATACATATTTCTAACGTAAGACTTCAATCGTCTGATACGTTCATGACCTTACATACTTTCCTCATGACCCTCAGTTTGGACACCTTTCACCAGGCGTAAAATGTCCAACGAATGTTTGGACCTGTTTGGTCGCGGACCACCGTCCTCCATTTGGTAGCGCACAGAGGCGGCGCACGTACGGTACATGGAAAACGCTTGAACTAATGCCGCTGGAACTCGGAATGCTTCTATAAGGCAACGGCGGTGTAATAGGCAGCGGCGATAAAGCCGAGAACCGTGGTTGCGTAAAGATAAACTGGGCTGATACGGTCCGCTCCTCGACATACGTACCGACGCGAGCATTCGTCCGCGCGAGAACTTAACGCCATGTCCAATTTGCATTATCCTCGACTTCCTTCCTTAACGATACCCGCGATACTGAGCCGCGTGGCATAACAATTCCCCTCGCTGAGCGCACGCGTCCGTTTACGTGTGTAGGATATATGCTGGAGCATCGGGCTCTGTAATCGCGACTGCAGAGATTCTTTTTTGTTTAGATCAAAATCAGACTGCCAAGTGATCGATCTCCTTTTTATGATCGGTTTGTTTGAATCGTTTAGGTTGTTGCGTGATAAATTGTTAGTTTTGAATCACAGTGATCGAACGATTATAGCTTATCTTGAATGGAAAATCTTTCGTCGAAGACTGATCCATTTGATACGACACAGTCTTGAAGGATTCCATAGGATTCCATAATCCAGGTCACTTGCACCGTCTGAACGACAGTTGCAATGTTTATGGTCGTACGATTTATAGACAATACAGCAGGCTAAAAATTGGTCCTTCCAACCGTCTGTCCAACTCCCTGTGCAACTTGTCGTACGACGAATCGTATCGTCTATGGGAGTCTTTATACACCAACGAATTATTGCTTGCCATTTTTAACTTCCTCATTAATTTTTCATAAACAATTCTTTTAATAACGAATACTTTTTTCAATGACGGTTAATGTCCGAATGCAACTATCGCCTAATTGTGTCTTCTTCATGATAGAGTCTCTATGATAAATCATTCGAAGGCAAAATATCGCCAGGCCATCCACCTTCAGATTCTACTCGAAATATATATTGACGCTAACAAACTCATAGCCAGTTAACCTATTCGGGCAGTTGACTAGAATACGTTTTCCGATCAACTCGAATACTTTTTCAAACGGTTAATATCTGAATGCAGCTACCGCCCAATTATGTTTTTGAATCACAAGAAGGTTCCCAATTGAATGGGGCTACTCACCGAGACAGGTGATCGCATGATCGGCCGGCGGTCGTAGGACATTTCGAGCCCAGGCTGCCCTCAAGACCTCGAGGGCACAGGGTGGTCCTCCGACCATCAGCACACCGGGTGACACGTGACCCTTGTACCTGAGCTGTCGGGTCGCGTCCACCAAGGCTGCGTTCCACCAGCATTTGGAGTTCGCCTCCAAGAAGCTCTGAAACAAATTTATAAATTAATGCTTCTATTGGAAATATTATCTCGTTACATTGAACCTTGGATTCGATCCTTTTGATCATCAATTAGGATTAGGTTTTTAGATCATTTACATCCTGTACCTACTTATGCAATCTTTCACCTTATTACCGTGTGCATCTTTTTTATAGCTTATCATTTTACCCCGAGGGATCGTTTTAGACACCTTTCCTGTACTATGAATTGTTCAACTCTTATTCTGTCAGGAATACATAGAGGATTCTTATGGATCTACAATCCACCGTCCTATCAACGTTGTCCCTTGCTAGATCGACTCCTAAATTATCTCCCAGAAGTACCCCAAATCGTATACTCCATCTTTCGTTCTTCTGTTGCGTAACATATGGGCTGTACACCCACGCAGGAAAAATTCCACAAATTGTCGTTCTACAACGTCGTAACGGTGATAGATCTTCCATTATCGGGATGAGGGTCGTAACGTAGATAGAAATCTTCGGCCATGAGGAGGATTCATCCTCTGAAAATACGGCCGAGCCGCTAAGTGTTTACTGCCACAGGGCTGGAGGAGCGGGGGTTAGGATTCACCCTTCTCGTATAACTCGAAGCGAAACTGTGCCACCCTCGTAGTTTTATCACGGTTCCCCCCGAAGCAGTTACGGGCCCGTATATACTGGGTGTCCCATTCGAACCTTCACAGGCAATTATCTCCTGAATTATTCCGTTATTTCAAACAACGTTTGAAGTAGAATTTATTTGGTTTTGAAGGGGACATCTTACGTTTGTCACAAATCTTATCTACGTGGACATGCTTCTAAGATTTCAAGGTGACCTTTGTTATTTTTAAATAGACCTACACGTTTTCATTTAGGTAGTCCTGTAGTATATTCTATGACGAATTCATTGGTCTATATTATGTTCAGCGTTCAATGTCATTTATTACTGTTGAAAACTTACACAAGTACCTAGTGTACATAAGTAACGAAGTTTAGAACTGAAAAGTTCAAAAGAAAAAAGGCAATGCCCGGCCAGTACCATCAACATATGTATAACCATAATTAAAGGGTTAACAGAATTTTTTGTGAGGTACGAAATGACGTCCTGAAATTTTGTGGCACTACTTACGCGGGACACCCGGTAGATAGGCCACAGGATGGGGACAGAATGAGCCAGACAGTGCTCATAAACGAATGTCCCCGCAGGATTTTCACCGACTATTGGTCCATTCCCTCTTCTGCAACGATTCTCTTGGCCGTTTTCGCCTTCCACGAACCTTCCCCCCAATATCTTCACGGTAAACCATGAAATTAGAGAAGTGTCCGTACCGATTGGTCGATACGAGCCCAACCACTGTGATTCATTGCGGCCTTTGTGCAGATCGAACAGTGCATTATGCCTTTTGTTCGGTTCATGATGTCCGTCTCTGCACTCGAGATAAGAGGAGAAGCCTCCACACGTTCAGTCGTAAATCATGCGATTTCTGATCCGCCTCCCCATCTGCTCGGATGATTTACCGGAATCAGGAATTAATCGTTGCCGATTTATGGACAAACAGTTATCACGCGTTTTATGTAACCCTATAGAAAGGCACGGCGCGTTACGCAATGTATTATGTAGGAAAGCGAGATAAAGGCTTCGAGTTAGGAAGATCATAAAATTACACACTATCGACTTCTCGATCGATTCTTGCCTGGTTGAAATATTAGTCCTCTGATTTTCATCGAGAATTAAGATCAATGTCCCTATTTCTAATTACGTCCTGATTACTACGTATATTTTTTATTTCATGTAAAAAGTTAAATAATAAACTAGCTATTCGACAAATTATTTAAATTATTATTAAAATAATAATCGTTCGAATTAGGGCGATGTACTACAAAACCAGCCTGGACTTTTGCCATACAGCTGTTAGTGCTGGGGTCAAAAGTCAAGGCAAAGGGTAAGGGTCCGCTACAAATCTAACTTGATGGAACAGTTAAGCCCAGGATCCTTCGTTGACTTGGGAATGTCATCGAAGGTCATCGAAGATTACTAATCGTTATCGTGTGGTCCCTAATGTATCGTGGAAGTCAGTTGCATCGTAAGCAGGAAATCACGGTCAAAAAGATTATCAAGGGACATGGGGTAAAAGCGGTCAAAGAAGCCATTAATGAAAGAAACAAAGCTCTGGTTTAATTTCAGGTCTATAAATTGGTTTACAAAAACTTGAATTTGCATAAAGATCTAGAGACAGTTACCAGTCAAAAGTTGAGCTTAGCACGCGAGTCTTTTGGTTATTTCTACTGACTCGTCCAGTTGAACGGAGAATAGTCCGAAAGCCACGAACAAAGAATGAAAATTCTCTGCTTTGGTAGCTCGAATACTATAGATCGAGCAATAACAACACCACGATCCTTCACCTTGTACAGAAAGGAATTACCGATTCGTATGCCTTCGCGGTTCATTGAATGCAAGTAATTACAGATGTGTAATAACGATAATTTTCACGTTAATGAAATCAACTACCTGTAATTATGATGATTTAACGTAATACTGATTCACCTTGTTTTCACGAGCGTTTATTCCGAACCACGATTGCGTTATTTCACAACCGGTGAAATTATCTTATAAACTACAACGTGCAATTAACTTCCTAGTGGTAAGACCTGGGTTGAATTTGATCCAAATTATAGTTCTTCTTGTGCTGTACCTATTCTGTGTTTTTTTATTACTTTCTTATTATTCTCGTTTTAAAATATGTTTCATTATTTAGTAAACTTTTTCTACTTATATGATTATACAGTTTTCGCACTCCAAGTTCAACTGTTTGTAAATGAAATTCACCCTTTTGCAGATGAAATTCATCCTTTTGCAGATGAAAGTCACTCTTTTGAAAATCACATTCAACCTCTTGCAATTTCTAGAATAAAAAGTGATGAAAAAACGTTCAAACAAATGTACTCAAGGCTAAAATTTCGAATCACAGTTTATCAAAATTATCCGCCCATAATCAACGATCTACATAGTTGCCTTCAGAATAATTCGATTAGGTGTTTTATTTTTATTCGTAGAAGAACCGCTTAGATACAGGTTCACAGTTTATCTTTTATTAACACACGAATACATATTGTCTATTTCTTTAACAAAGAAAATAATACAATTATAGTAAAAAATATAACAATTATTTCAGACTAGTTAACAATTTATGCAGAAATGTGCTCAATAATAGTTGAAAGAAATCGAAAGATTCATCAAGAATTCTATTGCATCGTCCGTTTCGGCAGACATGGCCGTATCGGAAGGGTTAACAGAACTATTCCCGACTAACCGACATGAAATTTTTACGTCCACGAGTTTCATGCTTGCCAAAACGCCACCAGGGGGGTGGGGGTCAATCGTTTCCTGCCATTCCTCGCGTAGACACAGGAAACACTTCTCGTCCAGCCTTTGATCACGAAATCCATGCACGTATACAAGCAGTTGTCATTTGTACGAGGTTCGACGGGACTTTAAAATATGTTTCTGCTCCTCGGTCCAATGAACGTTCCCCCGATTCGTAATGCAAACGCCGCCGTGGCTAGGGGATTTTTTCGCTGGTCGAGTGCACCGACACAAAACGAGAGAGTCGTTGGCTCGAATCGTTGATACGATTTCCCGCGAACTCGGTTCCGTCGATCGGAAATAAAAGCGGTTGTACACACGCTCCCGTGGATTTTCAATCGGTGAAACTACCCAGAGACGCCCGTTTTATCGTTAAACGGCCAACGAACCTTTTATCTGTAGATTTACGCGACGGTTCCGTCGTCGATTTTCTGATACAGTTCGCTTTCCACTACGGCTCGATGTCGATCGATTGTAAATAAAGGAAATCGACACTTCGATAACACTTGGTCGGGAGTCGTTACAAAATCCGTACGAGCGTACCCCTTCCCTCACTGCATTTCACCTTTCATTAAGACGTTACTTAACGCGATGATTTAACAGATTTATCTGTGCCAAGCTGGCTGTTAGGATGAATTACGCTTAGAGCGATAGTAGGGTATAGACGTTATCGTGTCCGATAAGTGATTTTCCAAAAGGTTCACTGGAATTAGTGAAGAAAGTGTCGGTATGCCTGGGTATTGAAAAGTAACGTTCGTTAGGTTACAAGGTTTTTCGCGATCTTGAATGGAGTTTCGAATATTTTAATTTCAAGTTAATTATTAACACTAGGTTCATGGGACGCGTCATTCTGATGCATTTCGAATGCCTTCTAACCTCGAAATTCTCTATGTGATATACCTATCTTTACGGATACGCGTCAATTGACGCGATCGTAAATTGAGTATTAAAAGAAAGAAGATATTTTTTTAAAAACAATGTACGTTTTCGTTGTGTGTCCCTGGAAATACGAGTATAAAAAATATCCGTAAACCTAGTTAAGCTTGTGTGAACGGAAAATTTGTTTAGAAATTAGGGATCTGTTGGCGAGATTAAATTAAATCGTGTATCGAAGAGTTAAGTATTAATAATTGTGTGTGTGGTAGAACTACTTTCTCGGTACAGTAGAGACCAGAATATCGATTCAAATTCGAGCTTTTAAGAAGTCTAATTGATGTCAAACTACCATGTAGTGAAGCAATATTGTAGTTTCCGACGCATAAAGCTTCTTCGATCACGCGAAACATTTTTTTCCCTCGATTGTTGGCTCGTGTCTACAGCGGGTGAATAGCCAACGGACCGCGCCAAGATCGATTTCGCGCGATCGTTTCATTTCTGGATCCCTTTCGCTCGTGGCAAGGCATCATCCGATCCTCCGGCAAAACCTCATTTTTCTTGCTTCACTGCGCACCGCGGAAGAAAGCGACTTTGTTGTTTAAGGTGGTTCGTGCCAAATTCGAAAGCCCAGATAATTAAATAAAATTCATACAGATTGTTTATTAGAACGAGATACACACACAAAAAAAGTTTGAGACTCGGTCACCGATGGAGTAAATAAGAAAGAGCTTGTCGAAAATCGAATTTTCAACACAGCTCTTATGGTAG